GAGATATATCTGTGTGAAGGAATTGAGAGTAGTTGTGACAAGTTGGGTAGCAGGACGCTAAACAGAAAAAGGCCAAGAGACCAGAAAACACAAAGGCTAGATATTTTCATTGTTGACCTGAGCAGGAACTCAGAACAATTTTGAGAAACAGTGTCAGTGATTCAGTGTTAATCTTCATGGAGAGCAATCCCCTATAGAGAGCAAAAAGAGAGAAGAAGAAGGACTAAAATTGATTTGACAAATTGATATTTGGAACGTTTCAATTTTATTGCTTTTCTAATGAAGTAGGTGTGAGCCTTAGTAGTAAATCAGGTCCGGAAACAAACACCACAAGGAGTGTACTACCATCTTGTGTTGTAGAACATAATTACAAGAGAATTTTGAAGTCTGTTAAAGATTTGACAGATGTGTCTTCACTACAAAGCTTATTACAGTGATTAGCTTATGGCCCTGGTTATTGTTGCATCACCAACAGCTATTCATCTGGAAAATCTCATAGTTGCTACTGCCATCCTCGTTTGACTCATCAACAGCTTGGGTGTTGTACTTATTTGTATCATAAGCAAGACAGAACCCTGGAAGAAAGAAAATGAGAAATGGGCTATAAAGGACTGGTACTATAAATGTTATTTATATACTATATAAAAGTTATTCTCATTTTTAAATATAACATTTATAACAGAATGGTTAGCCATCTTCTCATTCTTCCCCCAACCAAGGAAGGTCCCAAGAGCTCCAGAACATTTTGGAAATTTGGAATAAATCTGATTCTTGTCTCCAAGATATTCCTGGATTTCTTAATGGCACATAAAGCCACCTCTCCTTTCTTCTCTCTTCCTAATTCCAGCCTTCCAGGCAGGAGGTATTTTTTTCATTGTGCATCTTCTGCCAAGCTGCACATGTGGAAAAATCTTCTGTGATGGCCCCTTCAATTGTATGCTGAATTTAATTGATTTGGTGAAATTTAAAGATCTAACCTTGGAGAGGATGCTGATCCTGGTAGGGATCATCTGTTATTCTTGAGAGAGTAAATAAAATATTGGCTAAGCCATAATTGTAAAAAGATAACATAGAGACCAAGGTGGTGTAACCATATCTCAGTTCTGAAATTGCCCCAATCAGGCAACAAACCGGAGATCGATCAGCCTCATAAAAATAAGGCTGTTAGTGCAGGTGAAGTCTGAGGTCTCCCCAGTCATTTGAGTTGAGAAGAAAGTGTATCCCCTCATTCTAAGAACATTGAAAACGGCTTTTAATTCATTGGATGGGCTGGTTGAACTCATTCTTGGAAAGATCTGCCCCATTTTGCATTCCCCTTGCAAAGCTGCATCTTGCTCAGATGGAGAGAGAGAGAGAGAGAGAGAGAGAGAGAGAGAGAGAGAGAGAGTCAACTTACAATTGCCCAACCGGTAGCCCATCCAGGCCCTTTTGTTTCAGAATTGAATCCAGTTCACATCTAGAAAATATTTTGGCTTCACTGGATGCAGTGAGGAGAAAGAGGAGGATGAGCACTAATGTCTTCATTGTTGTGGCTCCTGGGAGGATAATGTCTGACTTCCCCAGGAAGGCTACTGGATTTTATGGCCAGAGCTGGAGAAACTGGCATCTCAGGTTAATTTGGACTAGGAAGCATGGAGTGCTGAGGCACAGATAAAAGAGAAAGAAATAATTGTAATGTTCCATTTCATAAGAAGCCAAACAAAACTAAAAGTGGATGTGAATCTGGATCAAGGAATCTGTATGAGAGATGCCAGAAATGAACAAGTGGTGCTTTCAGCTATGTGATTGAGGCCCCAACCTTTTTTTATGTATCTCACATATGATATATGTGAAAAAGGAAAAGGACTTTACTGAGTGGTGACTGCAGCCTCCTTGACTTTTTGGACCCCTGCCCTGAAGACATTCCTCTCTCTCTGGGGGACCCGACATTTCGCTGAAGTTTCCATTTGTTTGTTTCAATACAACTCTGGTTTCAGGGCATTTTTTTCCCCTTTGTGATCATGTTTGTGGAATAATGCAACTTGCTGAAATAACCCAGTGAACTGTACATTATTTCTTGGTTTTATTGCCATTTTACCCTTCTTACATGTATCATCAAGTCTTCATCCAGCCTCTATGAATATGTAGATGGATTTTATCCATCTGATCTGAAATTGCTGAATTCTACAATTGGATTGTGTAAATTATTCACAGTATAAGTCAGTGCAGTGAACTCTACCTAGGCTGGCCTGGAGGACTACTCAGAATCGACATGTAATCCAGAAGTGGGCAGCAGAGGCAGGGATGGGTATAAATCAGTTAGTTGCCACCTTGAGAAGACTATTGAGATGTTCTCCTTCCTTTGAAGAAAGCGGTAGAAGAAAGTATTTATTCCATTTTATTATGATGTAAGCTAAACAAAAGAGAGTCAGTTTGGTTTAATGTTTAAGGCCACAGGCTAGAAACTAGGAGACTGTCAGTCCCAGTCTTGGGTCATCTTGGGTCAGTCTTTCTCTCTCAGCCATCTTTTTGACATGCAGTTACGTGGGAATGGGTTTTAAATCTCTGGATCTCTGAATTGTCAGCTCAAATCAGCAAGAATTGTAATTGTTGCTAGTATCTGCAACTCCTCTGGGCAAGTACGCTTCCTTCATGGATTTATTTTGCAATTTGATCCTCATTCATTGTTTCTATATGAACAAATTACCCACCCAAATCACAGTACATTACAATTTACTTTTTAATAGTCACTCACTGGTGCATTCAACCCACATGCCATCTAACACTCATGCATTTTTGATCTTATCCCACCATGAAATTGTTAAGAGGGATACTTCTGGATACCATTTCTGCTGCGCTGGGATTAATTTCATGTCTCCAACCCTAAGTTCCACATATTAAAGTGAAGAGAAACATTCTTACATACAAAGTTTTCTGCTTATTTCAATAAGTGCATGATCCTCTCAACAGAAGACCTGCCACACATTAATTTATCAGCTAAACTATATCTTTTTCCTCATCCTTAGTAAATATTCTTCCAAGGTACATCCATCCATCTACTTGTTCTAATCTTTCACCATAAAGGTATAATTTGCATAATTTATGGATGTCTCCTACCGCTTAAGTTTACAGGTTACCTTTCTTATTTCAAAATCCCTGACAAGAGCCCTCAGTGCTCCTGAATTTCTGAGGGACAGCCTTAGAGGTCTTGGGGAACAAAATGGCCAATTTCCCAAGTGGCTGTGGGAAATTGTGATTGAAAACCTATCTAGAACCTCCTGAAATTAAAAAACGGAATCCTCCTTATGTTGGATCCTTCAAATTCAGAATAGCTTGGCCCTCAGTTCTCACTAGAATCCAGTGCTGCAAATCCCCTTGAGTGAGATCTCAGAAAGGAGTGTGGATTCTTTCTGGATGAGATTATTACAGACTTCAATATTTTGCAGGATGAATCTTGCTTAATATTTTCCAAATTAGCCAGGAACTGCCATTAGCTTTTTTCTGCCATCTTCTGTTTGCGGTTTTCTGTGTATGTTTACCTGAACAGAGTTTCTAGCAGAGTTTCCAGCAGACTTCTCAACTTTCTGCATGTGCAGGTATCACAGCTGGACCATGATTTGCTGTACATACTGGACTGAGGATGCACAGAGTAGGGTAGATTTAACAGACTAGCATATCTGGATTATGAGAAGAGATGTGAAAAGGACTTTGGAATAGCAAAAAATCACAATGGTTTGAGCTGTGTCATTAACCTGCTAATGTTGCTTTCTTGTTTGGGTGCTCTGGTATTTGGCAGGTAAACTAATGGGACTTAAGTGGCCGCCTAATTCTAAATGCAGACCTCATTTTTTTCTTATAGCAAAGACCAAAAGTCAAGCCTTAACATAACTGGAGGTTGACCATAGAATTTGTCTGGCCTTGCTTGGATGCTAATCTACCATTTGCAAATGATTGGTAGCCAGTTCAATTATGTTGGAATAATGAAGGATGAAAGGAAACAAATCATGATACAGAGAAGGGCTTAATGCACAATACTCGTTTTATTGAAGCAAGTTTTGAAGATTTTTAAAAAGCATTATCTTTCCCTCTTTTCCACCCAGAAATCATTGTTTTGTGTGCAAAGAAACTCATTCTTCCCAATATGTGGAGTACAGGTCTAGAATCAAACTGCTCAATGTGGTCATATAAGGCAGTGGCCCCCAACCTTTTTTGAACCAGGGACCGGTTTCACGATTATTTATTCTTCCACGGACCGGTACCTGAGTAACGCGAGACTCCACCGCCATCGGGACAGCTCTTTGTTCGAAGCCGCCCCCCCTCTTTGACGAAACTAAGGCACGAGCACCCAAACGCCGCTTCCCAACTGAAAACCTGAAAGCATCGCCTGGTGGCAAGTGCCGCCAACCGCCGCCTTCTACTACTAGTCCCTAAAGCAGCGCGGAGCTGCTTTAGCTGGGCTTCTCTCTCCCTTCTCAGTCTCTCTCACCTTCCTCAGTGACCCGTCGCCCTTCTTCTTTCCAGCCTCAGGCAAAAAAAAAAAATTTGGCACAGCTGGCTAGAAAGCACGCCCGAATTCCTCGCAGCTTCCCGCCTCCGCCTGCGAGGAAGTGAGCGGCGGGGGGGCGAGGGGTGCAAGCGTGGGCCGGGAAGCGCGACTGGTCAGGGAATGACTTTCCCCGGGAAAGTCGGAGGTGCAGCCGCCGCCGCTGCAGCGGCTGCTGCTTCCTTGCGCTCTGGCGACGGACGCCGTGGCGCTCCTTCAGCGCTTGTGCTCAATCTGTTCCTCTGGGTCATGGTGCAGCAGCAGCAGCAACAGCAACAGCTTTATCTGCGCGCGTGCATGTGCGTGTGCATGGTTGACGGGGGAGAAGGAGAAGGAGAGGAAAAGGGAGACTAGCGCTGGGCATACTGTAGCGCTCTTTTCTCCCTCTCTCCCCCTCGCGGTGCCCAAGCTTTGTGGTCCGGTAAAAAATGATCCACGTACCGGTATCGGTCCGGGGACCGGTGGTTGGGGACCCCTGATATAAGGAATAATATCATTGTCATAACAGAAGGAGGAAGAGAAATGCAGGATCATCAAACTCAGAGCTAGCAGCCACTGGTCCATCTTGACAGATTTGTTCCTTTGCAGTTTTTTTTCCAGGCAACCCTTAAGAAAGAATAAAAATAAGAACAATGCACATTTTTGTAGAACACACATCTGATAGTGTTTTTAACAGTTTCAAATGATGTAATTCTACTTGGAAAGATTTAGGAAACATCGAGGTGAGCTAGTGCAACTATCATTCATTCATCTTTCCTGTTCATTGACAGTTCTTTTCTTAGTTGTTTAAATAAATCTCCTATGCTCCAGATTAAAACAATAGTTTTAGCTAAAAAAGTCCTGGCTTTTTATTTCTCATAATAAAGCTTACATGCCATAATGTCCAGTAGATACTTTGGACTCTCTTCAGAACAGCACACAGAATACTTTTATATAATTCAGATTATTTACCACAAAGCATTTTTATTCTTTGCTTCTAGATACTCAGCTGAAAAGTGTTTCATCTAATGACCTGCTGCTTACTACTCAATAGTAAATCATTCTATGATTGGAGGCTTCAAGAATGATCTCTCCCTGCTCCGCACACTACTACTCTTTACCTACTAGATCTCTGATCCCATGGAGTTTGTCCACAGAATCCTTGGGTTCAAAAGACCCTTTGTCTAATTCTTCTGCTACTTGGTACTAAATCCTAGATTTTTTAACAGCTGACAAGCACAGAAGTGGATAATTGATGTAAAATGACTGGGAAGGAGTAACCCAGCTATAACCAGCATCAACAGCTGTGTCTTAAATTGTGTCTCAGGCTACTTTTAAACCAGGATTCAAAAGACTTCTTAAACCCATATTATAAAGCAACCAGAATGCAGGTGTAGCAATAAAAACACAATCTGTAATGTTCAGATAGTATATTTCACTACCAATGCTAAGACGTCTTACAATAGTCTAAAGAAACTAAGTAAATTTCATGAGTACAAATTCAGTTGCTAGCCAATGTTCCAAATATAAGATGTTAATGAGATATTGACTCACCAGGCATTCATCCCATTGGGATCACGCACAATTCTTTTAGCACAAGTAATATCATCGATGATGTCATCATTTGTGAAAGCTGCCAAAAGAGCAAATTAGAATTTATCCAATTCCAGATGTTTCAAAGGTATTTCCAAAAATTTCCATAAATTTATTATTTAAAACAGACCCTTTCTCAGCTGGTGTAGACCATGAAATACCTTTTCTCCTGCTCTGAACATGGAGAGTAACAAGTTTGAAAAATGTAGAGTACTAAGAGTTTGTTTCTGCTCTAGACTGAATATGCTGGATATGAAGCTATCCCGAGAGCATTATTGCATTCTTGGAAAGGAACCAGAGAGGAAATATCTCACTTAAGTCCTAAGTTTTGATAAAGGGCAGAAAACACTAGATTGAATTCTTTAACTGGGTGGGTTTCTGGAGCTGAAATTGGCATCTTTAACTAGTTCCTCTAGCAAGATATTGACTAATTATTATGAAGATAGGATCATGTGGCTCTCTTACAAGCAACACTTTTCATCTCCAGGTTACAAACTAGAAGACAGTGAGTTCTAGTCTCACCTGTGGAATGAAAGCTGGTAGGGTGACTTTGGGCCAGTCTCTTCCTCTCAGTCCAACTCACTTTACAGAGTTAAGTTGTTTCAAGGAAAATAGGAGGAGGAAGAATGAGTGCTAGGTATGTGTGCAACCTTGAGATGTTTATAAAAATAATAAAAGTGAAGAAATCTTTAAAAAGCACTGAAGAGAATGTGAGATAGTTAATGTGAGCGGGATAGGGGGACTTCACCATATACAAGCCTTTTCCTGTTTAGATAATACTGTGGTGGATGTTTTGGGGGCAGAAATGGAGATATATCTGTGTGGAGGAATTTAGAGTAGTTGTGACAAGTTGGGTAGCAGGATGCTAAACAGGCCAAGAGTCCTACAGAAAGCAGAGTGGTTAGATATTATCACTGTTGACCCAAGCAGGAACTCAAAACAATTTTGATAGTGTTGATGAGTCCATATCAATTCTATGCATCTGAAACAAAAGGAGTATAGGCATATTATCTCATTGTGTCATAGAACATAATAACCACCGAATTTTGGAAACCTGTTAGACTTTCCACTGCAAGGCTTATTACAGCCATTAGCTGTGGGACCCTGGTAATTGTTGCACCACCAACGGCTGTTTATCTGGAAAATCCCATAGTCACGACTGCCATTTGAGTTTGATGACCCCACAGCTCGGCTGTTGTATCCGCTCTCATAATAAGCCATACAGATCCCTGGAAGAAAGCAAGCAAGGAAAAGGGTATAAAAGATCTGTGCTGTAAATGAAAAAGCCATCCTGTTTTTTTTTTAAAAAAAAATAGAACATTTAGAACATAATGCTTAACTATCTTCTCCTTCTTCCCTCAACCAAGGAAGGACCCAAAAAGTCCAGTATATTTTGGAAACCTTCAGGGAATTTGGAATAAATCTGTTTCTGTGTCCAAGATATACCTGGATTTCTTAATGGCGCAAAAAGACACCTCCCCTTTCTTCTCTCTTTCTAATTTGAGCCTTCCGGGGAGGGAGTATTCTTTCATTGTGCATGTTTTGGCAATCTCCACATGTAGAAAATCTTCTATGATGGCCCCAAATTTACTAAATTTAAATGATTTGGTGGAATTTGAAAGATCTTACCTTTGAGAGGATATTTATCCTGGTAGGGATAATAACCCTTATTCTTAAGAGAGTAAATACAATATTGTCTAAGCCATAAGTGTAAAAAAAAAAAACCTACACGGAGACCAGGATGGCATAACCATATCTCAGTTCTGCAATTGTCCCAATCAGGCAACAAAATGGAAATCTACTATCTTTTTTTTTAAAACAAATTTTATTAATTTTCAAATACAATGCACAAACAAACAAAACGCAGGACATAATAACATAAAACATATTTTCTGAAAAACAAATAAAACATCTTATTTAAAGACAGGATAATTCCAAATTATCACATTTCCATACAAGCACAGTTTAATATGTATATTTATCTTATCTGTTCAATTTCATATCTTTTCCCACCTTCTCTTTATTTTTCCCTTTCCTTCTATTCAATTATATTTCTTTTACCTTGGATTGTATATATTCATTATATCCATCTGTCTTATTTACAATTTCATTATTCTCTTCCAGCATTCTTCTAGCGTTTTATTAATTCAAACATAGACAAACAAAACACAAAGCATAAATACATAAAACTTCTTTTTGGAAAGCGGCTTACCCCGGGTTACATCTTTTTATACAGACATAAATCAAATTCATGCTCACTTGATATACTATTTCATATCTTATTTAACATTCTATATTTTCTATATATTTTCTCTCTTCATTCACTCTCTTAATTCTATTTTATTTATTTCATCTCAATTTAAATAATTATACTTGCATCTTTTGTCTGTTCTCTTTCAATTATCTATTTATCTTTTCTTTCTAATACAATATTTCTCCTGTAATCACTGGTTGAAGTATGACAACTTTTTATCTTTCCCCTAAATTTAACACTTAAAATAATACATACTTTCCATACTGATTCTGCTTAGTACATTCTAAGTACTAGATTTTAAAATAATAAAAAAGAGAGAATTAAATTTATAATATAGTAAAAACAATGTTCCATAGGAAGTTAAACTCTATTGTTAAATCTTAAACATTTTTATACATTCCCTTAACTCATATAATATTTCAATTTTCTAACTCAATTTCAAATATTAATATCTACAATACAATCTTATGTACTTTTGCAGAATCATTTATTAAGTTATATTTTACCCTTTGTCTCTGAAAAAAACCTGTTTTTTAACATCTTGTTTTAAACCTTTATGACTTCTCTTTCCTTTTTCCCTTCCTTTCTTATCAATTCTAGCCTTTTTGCTCCCCCATCTCTCAAACTCCACTCTCTTAATCTTCCCTCTCTGTTGTATTTCTCTTTTCTGTTGCTTTCTGACATTGTATCGGTTTTTCATCTTATTTTTCCCTTTCTTGGTTGCTTTTTTAGGTTCTGAATTCTCCATTTTGTTTCCCCCCTTTCTCTTTTCTTCCTCAACTAAGATTGTCTGTCCATTAAAGATGGCTTCTTCTTTTTCATCCCAGCCTTCTCGTTGTTGTATTTCTTGGTAGGTAGAAATCGCCATTTCTAAAAAATGAAAAATAGATCCAGAAGAGCCCTTGTCTTCTTGTTCCTCTTTTTTTAGCTTTTGAAATTCCATTTGTAATTCTTCAACTGATAATGCCATTTTTTTCCCTTAAAAACAACCCAAATTTTTTTAGTCTTTCAAGAAATAGTTCCCAAAAGTCCCAAAGTCACAAAGCAATCCAAATCAGAACAAATTGTTTCATTTAACACTTTCTTCTTTTTATTTTTTCTTCTTGGGGTAGAATTCAGTTACACAGTTCCAAAGTAATTTTTTAGAAGTCTAATTGCCACTTATTTAATTGTTTTCTTGGGAAATTCAGGGTATTGGTTTTTATCTGCAAAAGCCCTACATGTTGATAGGATGCCTGTAGACTAACTCATCTCCAATTTTGTCTGTCTATCCAGGAAGATCTAACAGGATTAGACTATTTCAGATCTGATATAAGCAGTAACAGTATCTTTTAGAAGCAAGAATCTGGCTTCCCTGAGATCCAAACAGCCTCCAATTGGATCTGATGCTCATTAGAAATCAGACCACACTGGATTGGGTGGCTTGGAGGCACAAAGTCAGATATGTCTTTGTGGGGGAAGGTAGACAACTTATGAGAAGCTTAGACATGGGATACTAAGTAGAGATGCAGACTGAAGAAGGATAGCAGGACAACAAAAAGCAATGTAGCTAGGTACTATCACAATGATCCAAGTAGGAACTTGAAATAATTTTGAGAGGCAAGATGATTAAACATGAATCTTCATGAAGTGATGGGTGCAATTGGACAATTAGAAAGACCGATAAAGGAGAAGGAGGATTAGAATTTCTCTACAAAATTTTCAATTGAGTTCTTTGGGACATTTCACCTTTTTGCTTTTCTAATGAAATAGGTGTCAGCCCTTGGTAGTAGATCAGGTCAGGAAAAAAAACACTACAAGGATTATGGGAATCTGTACTACTTCATTGTTATAGACCACAATAATAAGAATAGAACTTTAAAAGCTTCTCTCTCCCACCTCATACACAAACAGGATCAAGGTCAGGTAATTTTCAATCTCTTTCAGATGCTTCCTTCTTTCCCAGGACTGAGTTGTCATTCTTTTCTCATCAACTTAATATTAATTAATATTAATTAATATTAATCTCTTAATAGTTCTCTTAACAATTCTTGCATTCCTTTATCAAGATTATATATCTTCGACCCTACATATCTTACCACTACAAAGCTTATTGCAGGCATTAGCTGTAAGGCCCTGGTAATTGTTGCACCACCAATGGCTGTTTATCTAGAAAATCCCATAGTCACGACTGCCACTCCTGTTTGGCTGCCCCACTTTGTGGGTGTCAAAACTGCTTTCATGAAAAGCCATACAGACCCCTGGAAGAAACAAAATGGGGAAAGGGCCACAAGAGGCCTGTGCTATAAATGAAAAAGCTATCCTGGTTTCTCACCCAGAACATTTAAAACAGAATATTGAACTATCTTCTCATTCTGTTCCAAAGAAGGAAGGACCCAAGAAGTTCAATACATTTTGGAAACCTTCTGGAGAATTTGGAATAAGTCTGATTGTTCTCTCCAATATATTCCTGGGGTTGTTAATGGCACATAAAGCCCCCTCTCCTCTCTTCCTTATCCAGGCCTTCCAGGGAGGAGATACCTTTCCATTGTGAATCTTTTGCTTTGCGGTCCCTGTGGAAAATCTTCTGTGATGGCTCCTTCAACCATATCCTGAATTGAGATGATTTGGGGAAATGTGAAGAATCTCACCTTTGACGGGGTGCGTAGCATCCAAAGGTCAGATTCCTGGCAGGGAGAACTTTTTTATTCTGAAGAGAACAAATACAATATTGGCTAAGGCCCTGGTTTTTTAAAATACAGATAACACAGTGACCTAATCACACTCCAGTTTTGCTGTTGTGCCAAACAGGCAATGAAGTGAGTATTGTTCATTCCCATAAAAATAAGGGTGTTAGTGCAAGGTGAAGTGTGAGGTCTCCCCAGTCATTTGGGATGGGACCAAAGCATATCTTACCATTCTAAGAAAATTGAGAAGAGTTTTTACTTTTTGGGTAGGCTGGATGAACTCCATTCTTGAAAAGATCTGCCCCATTTTGGACCCCCCTTGCAAACCTGGAACTTGCTCAGGTGGAGAAAAAGAGAAAGTAAACTCACAGTCGCCCAGGCTGAAGTCATAATATCCATCCATGCCATTTTGTTTCAGATGGGAAGCCAGTTCACCTCTGGAGTATACTTTGGCTTCATTGGCTGCAATGAGGAGGAAGAGGAGGTTGAGAATTAATGCCTTCATTGCTGCAGCTCCCTGGAGGACGATGCCTGGCTTCTCCCCGGATGGCAACTGAGTTTTATAGTCACAGCTTGGAAAATTGGCACCTCTGCAAAGATTGTAAATAAAGTAAGCCATAATAATTGCGTAGCGCCAACCTGAGTTTATTATGGCCTGACAAGGAGAGCGTTGAAAATTTGCATGAGTGGTGCTTAAAATAAACAAATGGTGCCTGCAACTGTGTCATTTTTATGCATCTTGCAAGTTATGTGTGTGAAAATTGAACAGAACTTTTTATTGTGTGGGGATTGCTATTCCCATTTCACCTTCTTTTTATTCTAACAGTTCTATTCTATTCTCCTGTTTGTTCTAGATATTCTTTAGATTTTGGAAATATGAGCAGGAAATACTATTACACTTATTTATGTCTCACTTTTTATTGTGTCCAATAAAACCCTCTCTCTAGCAGGCTGCAACCTAGGGGACTTTCCATGCTTCGCTTAACTCACAAAGGAAGTTACCATGAGGAGATTCAGTTAAGGTTTTTCAGTTGTCGCATCCTGTCTTTGGTCAGGATTTTTTTCCAACATTGAGAATTTTTTTGAGTTTTCCTTCCCTCAAAATAACTCCCTTCATCATGCCATATTAAAGATATGTAATAAATATAAACCCAGGTTGTGGCCACAAATACCTTGAGGTGTCTCAGCTCAAGAAGCATATTATGTAAGAGAACTGGTAAAGATAAATATTTGACATATCAAACATTGGAAAACCCTGAAGGGGAATTTAAAATCAGATCAAGAGCACAATGAATAGCAGATGGATATA